ATAGTTTTTTTTTTTACTCGAGGCAAAGAATGCAAAGTTTTTTTTTTTTTTGCAGAGAGTACATGAGCAATATTTACGAAGTGATATTGGTTGTGGGCTGGATTCATGTCGTTGCTGTCAGCCAGTTGAGGGTCATTCTCTCACTGACCTCAGTGAACGCATCTCCTCAACGGTGCCCATAAATCATGCGATCATCTTGGATTCCTCAGCAATTATCCGTTTTCACCATCTCTTCGAAAATTCGGTTTTTTCGTGAGTTTTTGAAGTTTCTGATAATCAACAGGCGTTGCAGGACTTTTGAGAGGACCTGCATAGGACTTGTCCTTTTACTTGGCTTTCGTTCAGTGAGGCTTTGATGAATATTAAAACTCAGCCTTGCTGGCGTGAATGGGACCCTTTGCAAAAACCGTTCTGAACCGGTAAGGAATCGAACCACTCCCCTACACGCCAGCACGCAATGTGTTACCACTACACCACCGATGCTTGTGCTATCGGTTCAGCCTGCAGTCTGACAGCACATCTACTGTGTATCCGCCTTTCAGCGCAAATGCGCCTTTCTTCCCTTTTTCTTTGTGTCGGCTTTCTGGGCGGCTTTTCTCGGGTTTTTCGCAGCACTTGTCGTTCGACTTGTTTTCCCCATACATCGTCTTTTTGAAACTATCAGTTGGTGCAAATTTCACAGCATTTTTGACATAATCCTCAGAAAGTAAGACGGAATATGGCTACTATCGAAGGAAGAGCAAACGTTGGCTGTGTCAGAGGGACTAATGGAACTGGTTGTCCAGCGATTTTGCTATTCCTGTATTTTTGGTATTATTTTTCGCGGTAGACCAAAACTGTGGTATCTCACTATTTGGACCTTACTAATGTTTAAGAAGGCTACTTTTTGAACGGACCTGCTTCATATTTTTGTCTACACCATGCGGAGCCACATATGTGAAAGTGTTCTTTTTAGAAATATAATTATTACGCAAACTGTATGGGAAGATGTGAAGAAATCAAATCCGCCAGCATACAAATCTATGCTGACGCTGTGCTATGAAAGCCCCGATCGGAAAGTTTATGTTTTCATGGATGATTTTCATCACGAAACGCATCTGGATCGTATTACTGGCGAGAGCGAAGAAGATCGGTGAGTTTTTTGCGTTGACAAATTTAGCGGCGGACCTAGGGGAGGGGCAGTGGTTTTTCCCTCCCTCACCTCCCCCTAGAGGCTTAGGTAGCAGTTATTTCACTGTAGAAGAATCTACTTGAAACCCCTTGTCGCCTCCTCCCCCACCCCAGGAGACCGGCCTGGATCTACCTATGGGCGGAATCGAATTTCTGGCATTCAGTGCTGAAGTAGCATTTCTAATTCACTTACATGCATATGAAAGTGTGCGAAAAAATTTTTAGATTAACACGGTCACTTTTAACATGTGCCAGATATTACGAGGAACACTGGAAGCATTTTACGATAACTCCTGTACTT